AGTTCTTAGACCACATTCATTCTGTGTCAGAAACCTATGCTGTGTCAACTATTTAATCACAATCCAAATTCAGAGCTGTATCAAGCTTGAATGCTGTGTCCATACTTGCCCCAACTGTTCAGGGTTCGACCTATGCGGTCGTATCAAGCTGCGCCCTGCGGAGCATTTTATTAACTGCTATATAAATAATCTTGCGAGATACATATTTATGAAAGCATATACTATACTATATGTACATATTGGAATCTGCTAAGAATATATTTAAAACAGATGATCAACTAGCACTTTTTAAAAGTATAAACGATTTTTCCAACAAATTCACAAATACACTTTGCATTAAAAAAATTATGACCTCTATATGAGTGATTTGTACGTAGACGGTAAGTGTCTGAATGCAGTTTTATTTTAACCCGTTTTCGGTACTTTGTAACTGGTCATCACGACTAGATAAATGATTATAACGACTTATTTAACTCATATTAACGACTTAAATAACTTGTTATAACGAGATACTTAGTCGTTATACAAGTTGGCTTACTCGTAATATCTATTTATCTAAATCGTAATGAAAAGGTACTAAGTCACAATAACGAATAATCAAGTCGTTATTATGAGGAGTAAGTTTAGAAAACGAATGCGTTATGACAAGTTAGCTAAGACCGTTAAATCGATTCACATAAGTTGCCATAGCGAGTAAATAAGCCAGGATTACAGATTAGCTAAATGGCAATAACGATTTAGATGATTTGTTAGAGTGACTGAGTTACTAAGCCATGACATCTATGTATCTACATCCTGAAACTAACCGGCTTCTGTAAATTTGAATAAAAAAGGTAAGAGACGTGAACATTTGAATAACTTTATTAAAAGGTGTCACAATCACATGTGTAATAAGGTAGATAATGTCTTACCATTTACTAGTAATTTCCACGGATAAATGACACTGTTTTTTTATAATAAGTTAGGTTATGAAGGTTTGTTTTCATTTTGATAAATCTGTGCCTGTATATTTTCAGCATAAATGAAGAAACAGAAAATGTACCAATAAAAATCGAGTACGATATGGGTTGGCAAAAGAGAGGAAGTGGAAGGAAGTATGACTCTATGTCAGGTGTTGGGGTGGCTATAGGGAAAGAAACCGGTAAAGTGCTGGAACGTGAAATACGGTCAAAGAATTGTAGAACATGTTCATATTGGGAAGGCAAGGGAGTAGAGGCAGCACAACACGACTGCCCAAGAAATTGGTATGGGACATCAAAAGGCATGGAACCTGATGTAGGTGTTTCATTAATTAAAAAATTAGAAGAAAAGAAATGTACGGTGTCAACTCTCATAATGGACGACGATGCCACCACAATGTCAAAAATTCGACAAAATATTGACCATGACATCACTAAATGGAGTGACATTAAGCATGTACAGAATAGCCTTGGTAAAAAATTAAGTCTTACCAACATCATATAAAAAATCCATAAGAAATGATGATATAGCACATCTCATGAAATGTTTTACGTATGCAGTTCACAGTAATAAGAACAATAAACAACAAATGCAAAAAGATTTGTCTGCCATAGTCCCACATGTTTTCAATGAACACGAAAACTGCAATGTACGATGGTGTAGGTATTTAAAAAATCCAGAAAATTATACTCCAACCATTCAATTGTCAAATCTGGATTTGAAATCTAAGCTAAGCAAAATATTTCAAGATTATGTTGAAAACATAGATAAACTAGTCCCTTGTGCTTCTACAAAGGAGAATGAGTCGTTCAATAACATGTTGACAGCAAAGGCACCAAAAAATAAACATTATTCTGCTTCGTCAAGCTTAGAAGCACGAGTAAATTGTACTGTTGGACAAAAAATTGAGTCTTTCAATTATGTATCAATTGTAAATGTAGAATGTGGGTTATCTCCCGGAAAAGTAACAGAAAAATCAAGCAATCAACCTATTAGAAAGAGGAAACTGCATTCGAGCTATTGTAATTCCAAAGAATTTAAGAAAAAGAAATTAGATAAAAAACGTGTAGATAGAAATGAAAACAATGTTCTAGAGATAAGAGAAGGGGATACGTACAAAACAGAAATTGATATGCTTTGTCAAAACATGCAAGAAACAGACGTTATATCCAATCCTTTGGTTATAGAAGAGCTTAATCCAGTCCAAAATATCCAGACCTCTATTCCATGTGTTTATTTCGATCCTGAAACAACTTCATTATCTCTAAACTGCGACATCGTTCAAATTTCAGCAGTAAATGATATACATGTATTTGATCAATATATTACCCCTTCTTCAGTGATAAGTAAATATGCCTCTGAGGTAACTGGGTTGTCTATGTGTAACAACATATTGTGTTATAATGGCCGTAAAGTCAATTCATGTACACCACAACAAGGTTTACAGAATTTTATCATTTGGTTACAAGAAAATATACCAGAAAAATGCATGTTGATCGGCAAAAAATTTCGATGCACCTAAACTAGTTCTCTGTTTACAGAAATTTCAACTTTACTCATCGTTTGAGGAAAAGGTTCTTGGTTTCGTTGATACACTTCCATTTCTGAATTCAGTATCCAGAATTGAAATCGCATAAACAAGAAGTGCTTGTTTCTACCTTCTTAAAAAAGAATTACAGTGCCCATAATGCATTCGCTGATGTACAAATGCTGAAAGAGTTAGTTGAATTTACTAAGTGTAGCATCACTGAGTTAAGTCCATACTCATTTACCACCACTTCGTGTGCTCTATGCTTAAAACAAAACATTGTATCAAAGGCAAGACTGGTTACCTTAAAGCCTTTAACAGAGAGAAGCGTGATTTCGACAGCAATGGCAAAAAAGATATCGGATAGTGGTCTGGATTTATTTCAACTGCAATTGGCTAAAAGGCGAGATACGGACAATGGCATTAGACTAGTGCTGGCTGAGAAGAATACCAACAGAAAACCTCGTGTTACTGCTTGCAAAAGAGTAGCTACAAAGATTTCAGATTACCTGAATTAATAAAACTAAACATTATTTTTTAAATTTTGTCTGTTTCACTAAGAAAGGCAGCATTTCTTTCATTCATTTAGAATTACTAATTTGTTTACTTTTTTCAAGATAAAGGCCGATCGTTAACAAAAAAAATCACTTCTGAGCGTTGGTACTAGTATATTTTATATGGTCTTTCTGGTTGTTGTAATAATAGATTTTCATCTGTGCTGTATGACTTCCTTTACTTCCATCTAATTCAAGTTGTATCGCCTCCTTGTGGTTTTGACAGTTGAAGGATAAACGCAACCAAATTGTCCTGGTCATTTACAGTACCTCAAAATGCACCTTGCTGATATAAAAATAAGAAGATGTGGTATGATTACCGATGAGACAAATACATGTTTTGATATTTTACTGAAGTGTTATAATTTGAGGTAACCACACGGCATTCAACAATGAGCAAAAACCCATACCGTACAGTAAGCTATAATTTTAGACAAAGTAGTGTAATAGCACACCCAAAAGAATAACTGGAAAAATCAGTTGAAAAAGACGACTTTAAGATCGGCACAAAGCACCAAAATAATTATTACCAAAAAAAAAAAAAATACCTCCAGTCATGAGATATTAGTTCATCACATATATTACAAAATAACAACCGGCAACAATTACGACATGCACATACAAGCTGTGGCCGTCCCATTCACGTAGAAAGTGGTGTAAACGTACACCAAAATATCAAACTGGAAAATCAGTCTGTTGAAAAAGACGACTCTTCAGATAAGCACAAAGCACAAAAAAAAAAAAATACAGAATAAAACTGTCATTGAGGTATTAGTTCATCACATATATATCTTTTAAACACTTCTGTGATGAAAACTTAATGCTGTGTGTAAAACCATAACAATAACAACGATTAAACAAATAACTGTTAACAACACTGCTTTCAGAATTGGCGCAATTTGTTCCCGCCATTTCAATTTTTTTTTACAATATATCTGAATATCTTTTTTTAGAGTACGGTGACCCTACTTTTTTTATTATTATTTTGTTTTATAGATAAAAATGAATATTGTATTGAATTTTTATGAAAAAAACATTGGTCAATTTTTTTAAATTACTATATTTAACCTCCAAATTGCACCATAAAAAGGCGGGAAAATTGTTATAGCAAATTATCGATATTTCTTGTTCTTCAGAAAATGGCAATACGAATAATGTAGTTACTGCAAACAATAAGGTTAACAAAAGAAGCAATTTTCAAGTGATTCGGAGATTTTATAAAATTTTACATGGCAAAGAACTACAAGTCACGATTTTCAAATTCTTCGAAAAAGAGCGCGTTTCAAATCGAAAACGAGGTCGGTGATCCCATTTTTTTTTGGTTTATTTTGAAGCTTTTACATAGGCCAAAGTGTAAATAAAATTTAAAGGAGATATTATTGGTAGATCTGAATAGAAGGATTTGTCTTTAAAGTGGTAGGGACAATTTCCCGAATACTTAGGGTCATTTTCAAAAAGTCCTCCAATCTTAACTTAACTTGATCAAATATCCCTAAGGTTTTTCAAACATTATGTTGTATTTCTCAAAATTTTGTTGATAGTTGAAATATTAAAAACTTTAATATGTATTATTGAGACTATTTGATTTTCAAGTAAAAGCAGGTTTTTTAACAATTTTTGTATTTTTACCCTGAGCGTGATATAAAATCAGGAAAATTTATAAAATAAAATGAACTCTTTCTTAACTGAAAAAGGGGTTGTTTCCTTAAATCCACCTTTCCAGTTCATATGCAATAACTTATTAGAAAAAGAATAAGGTTACGGATGCCAATGAGTCTACTGTCTCCAATGAAAATTGTGTAAACAACTACGTGAAACTGATACGGTGACAAAGAGAAAACTCCGTACCGTATAGTAAGCTATAATAGGCTCCAGGATGACAAAACAAAATGTGAAAAACTTCAAAAACAAAAAACAAAAGGTTTATTTCCATTTTTTTTTTAACATTTACTGTATAGACGACCATTCAAGAGTTAAGCTAGAAACGTATAATAACAGCACAGACTACATCAATGCCAATCATATTAAGGTAAGTTTTATTAACTACAGAGTATTATATGAATATCACCCACAGTTGCATTCATTAAAGTTACTTCAGTACATAAAGATCAAAATGTTTTTGAAATCATTTTTCAAAGTTAAATTATTTTAAAATTACACATGTAAAATAATTATTCAATTAGTAGAATTTATAAATAAATTTGCATTTCGTTGTTTTTTATTCTTCAAAAGATACGGTAAACATTAAAACCAAACCAATTTTTATGCCTACAGAGAAAGGAAATACAATTTATAATACTTACTTATTACTTTTTATTTACAGAGCTACAGCAAAGACAATGCATATATTGCAACACAAGGTATTTTACTTTTGATATATGTGATACCTAAATGAACCCGATGGGCTAATATCTAATTTTGAAATACATACCTCTCTGGAATAGTAAAAGAAACTAATAAACAATCTACAAATATGTTTTCGGCGTAAGTGTCCATTTTTCCGTCTGTCCTTGTCATGTGATTAAATGTAGTTTAACATGAAATTGGGATCACATCAACTTGAAATTCAGTAAACGTGTTAATTATGATGTGAGTGTAGAAAAGAAAATATGTCGAATCTGGATTTTGACCCAGATTTTGAGGTTTCATGGATATTGAAATGTGATAGTGTAAGCAGAACATGGTGTCCTATGGAAATATATTCTTGTTTTGTTGTGTTTTGTCTTGTTTTTTGATTGAGGTCTATCGCTAATATTTTTAAGTTTATATTTATTATGAAAAAAATCTTTCCCTTTTTTATTGCATGGACATTTAAAGACAATATTGAAAGAATTTGTAAGTTAATCAATTATCTGATACAATGCTTTATAATTTTTAATATAATTCTTGTTTAGAATTAAAAATCTAAAAGTAGCAGGTGGGTTGTATTGCATAGTTAGTTAAAAAAAAGTTTCGGTACATAACATTTGTCTTTTCATTTGATATCTTTAGGACCTAAGAAAATAACCTTAAGTGATTTTTGGCAAATGATTTGGCAAGAAAACGTGGAAAGAATTATAATGGTCACAAAACTAGTGGAAGGTGAAAAGGTATGTATAATTCTTTATGTTTATAGCAGAGCACAATTGTCGAAAGTAAGAACAAGCCACATTGAAATGGTATACCAGAAAAAGATTCATTCGCTGTTGCTGTTCATCATTTAGATTGCTAAATGAGGAAGGTAAACTACTACAACAAAATATCCCTGACATAAGACAGGCTTTTTGATATTCACAAATAACCTCTACAAATGTTCATGGTGATACACTAGCGAGAGTTGTAACAAAGGAAAATAAGTAGCTGGTAAGGTTTAAGTTTCATTAAAAAAAATCATAATAACGATAACAAACATTTAGACATCTCATTTAGACATATTTTGGATAACATGTATTATATTTTTCTTATCATAAAAGTTGGGTAATATTGGATCACTAAAGTTTTTGTTAAATTTGAATAAGCAAGCGACACAATGATACTAAATAAAGAAATATAATGAGCAATGCATAATGATATCATTATTTTGTATAATCTAACTAATTTAATTTTTTGTTTGAAATGGGTCACATGTTCAACTGTATTTTAAGGGTAAAAACGGCCAATAGAATAGTTAAATTGCATAGTTATTATTAAAATATCAGAAAAAACCCCTAACTTTGTGACACAATCATACCAATCAATCAAGTGAATTTCTTTTTTATTTCTGGCATATTGACAATACAATAATAATATAACAATTATAACCTTTGGATGAGGTCGGTACGAGGATATTTCGACCTCATACATAGGCTATAATGGTATGATATCAAATATGGAATATTATGGACAATATACAATGATATCAAATAGAGAATAGTATAAGCAAAACACAATGATATCACATATAGAAATATTATGGGCAATACGCATTATATTAAATATAGGAACATTAGGAACAAAACAAAAAGATATCAAATATAGAATATTATGGGCAATATACAAAGATATCACATATAGAATATTATGAGCAACACGCAATGATATCAAATATAGAAATTTTATGGGCAATACGTATTATATCAAATATAGGATCATTATTACCAATATAAAAAGATATCAAATATAGGAATATTATGAGCAATACAAAATGTATCAAATAAAGGAATATTATTTGCAATACACAATGATATCAAATATAGGAATACTGTAAGCGCTACAAAAAGATGTCAAATGTTAAGGTATAATAAAAGTCAAAGACAGAAATTTTATGATCACTTTACCTAGAAAAACAATAAACAGTGCATATATAATATAATGTAAGTTGTATTTTAGAAAAAGTGTGAACAATATTGGCCCGAATCAACACATAAACAAGTTTTAATTGGCAAATTTACACTTAAAATGTTGGAGGAAACAGAAAATACTGTATACACTTATCGCTGTATACAATTATCGTGTGGAAATGTAAGTATTTCTTGTTTGTTTTATGTTGTTAAACGATTGAACCCGGAATGACTATGTGTGCATATTTGTATTTTCTATGATAAGTTTAGCAGCAGATATTTAAGAAAAGTAATGTTGTCATCATTGCCAGGCCTTAAGTTGACTTTAAGATGATTGCACAGTTTATTGTGGTACTTTCAAAGTCGAGCGTTTAAAAATTTATCAAAGATACCAGGCTTATAATTTGATACGCCAAGCGCGCGTTTCGCCTAAATGACTCACTAGTGCGTTCGAATCAAGACTGCTGGATCAAGTATCTTTATAAGTCTTTTAACTGAAGTTCGTTTCTGTGTGTGTTACATTTTAATGTTGTGTTTTTGTTGTGTCGTTGTTCTCCTCTTATATTTGATGCGTTTCCCTCAGTTTTAGTTTGTAACCCGGATTTGTTTTTATCTCTATTGATTTATAAGTTTCGAACAGCGGTATACTACTATTGCCTTTATTTATATATATATGTCATAATCCAGACTTACATCTGAAATCAATTCTTCAAAACAATCTTGTTCCATTGTACTTTACGTACCTGTAACTTAAACGTATATGTGAATTTTAACATAATTTAGATTTTTTATAGAAATTGTAAAAATAATTATATTAAACTGATTCAAATAATTGTAGACCGACAGAACAGTTCATCATTTTCACTTTACAAAGTGGCCAGATCATGATGTGCCGGACAAAACAAATTTAGTGAATTTCTACCGCAAAGTGAAGTCAGTGCCAACTAGTTTATCTGGACCGATGGTAGTTCACTGCAGGTTTGCAATTTTCTCTGTCAAATAAATCTACATTAATTATCTTTACCAGGAAACCTTCTAATTTCTATTTAATTCCGCATTAACATAATTGGTCTTTTTCGTCTTCCTTTTACACATCATCGTCATCATTGTCAACTTTTGTTTTTAAAATTTTGCACCTTCTTTTGCATATCTATTCAGTGCTGGGATTGGCAGAACTGGAACATTTTTAGCACTGGACGCATTATATGAACACGGCAAAACTACAGGGTTTGTTAATATAATGGAATACACACATATGATGAGACAAGACAGAATGAATATGATCCAGACTGTGGTAAGTTTAAAAGCCTTATAAGTAAATTGCAAAAGAGTGTGAATAACAAAAATCAAATTAATTCCGTTTATATTTTATTGCATATAACATCTTTTCTTTTTTTGTCGTTGCTTATGATATTTATAATTATCTTTTAAATATTATTATCATTATTACTATTGTAATTATATTGTTTTTCATAATTTCATTGGGATACCGTGTTTTAACGTCATCAACACTGCATAGATCAGAAAGTCGTTTCAGTCAAAATTCTGACTTCAAATTTTTCTGTAATGTGGTACATGCATAATATTCCCTAAATCATTACGAATCACGTGTCTGTCTGTTTGATATACGTACACCTTGTGAGTCAGGAGCGTCATGAGCATCTCCGATCCAGCAGTATTTGTCAAAACTGTTCCCTAAAATTAACAATTGATTATATCATGATGCAGAATGACTCAGTTTCTAAATACATATACTATTCATCAACAGTTTTATAAGCTGAATATATCATCAGTCCAAAATTTCGTAGAACCTGTATATGTACTGAATACTAAATAAGGAGATGTGGTATTATTCCCAAAAGGACAATTATCAACAAATGAAATTTGATGTTAGCAATTATAGGAAAATATCTGTCATATGTGCCAAGTCATGAATATGACAGTTGTTTTCCTGCTGTTTATTAAAACAAAATTTAAAAAAAAAACTAACAAGGATCTTCGTTTATAGATATGACTTTGCATAAAAAATCAATGGAAATCAGACGAGACAATCTTTACTTTTCATACGACATCAAATTATGCAGGACGGACAGACGGACTTATATTGTTACAGGTCAACTAGTCTGTGTAGTATTAGCAAATAATCAGATCCAATGGCATTGAGCCATCATAGCCCTTTTCACAAACAAAAGTGAAGTGGAATAAGTCATGCAAATCCAATCTTTTGCAATACCATTTACAAATATGAATTATCACGTGTTTAAGAATGAATTGATCGTTTTCAAGGATTTTTGCACAACAAATAAGCGACAACATCTTTTCACGATCATCAATAGCGGTAAACGATCTTTCACGACCCGAAATATCAAATTTTTACAAATATTACCATTTTTGCAAAGTTGCTGATTAAATTAAAACAAAATTAACATCAGGAACCTATTATTATTGATGCGCAAAGAACAGAAACACATTTTGGCAGTATTTGGCCACAGCTTTGTTACAAACTACACAATTATAAATCCATATAACTAGATAAACAGTTAAGATATATATATATATATATATATCAGATAGATAATTAGATAGATAGATAAATGAACGTAGTCGCCTTTCATATTGGCACACTGCAAAAAGATAACTAGATAACTAACTAGATAACTAAATATTTACAATTAATGAAGCATCCAATAAAATAAAATGAATCCTGGAATACAGAGATTCATAATTTTTTGTGTGGTGGGTCCAAGGATACAGAGACCCCCAATATCAAATGTTCTGGATGCTAAATGAAATATGCGACAAAATGACGCATAGTTAAAGTAAACGCAGTGAAATGTGCCAAATTGACCAAGGCAGTCATAAATGACTGACGGGTCAACCGCCATTCAAAGCGGATAGAGCTGCGTAAAAGCTGTGTGCGAAATACAATAATCATATAAGATATATAAGAGCTATAAATATTTAATAAAAACTGAATTCAAATGAATATCATACAAATTCATGATTTACATTCGGGAAAAAGTATGTGGCGAGTAGACAAGGAAGGCCTCTAAAGCGCCCTGAACTGTGTTTAGAAAAATGTTATTACCAATATCAGTCAAATGTACACCATCTTGACATATAAATGTAGAATTAGGAGATATATCGGGGTATCGTATGTAATGTCCCCCTTGGCGAATGATACAACTTGCTAGCGAGCTGTTTATTCTGTAGTAGAGAATTGATAAGAAGTAGTGGATTCGTAAACGATTATCAACGAGCGACTTTATTCGCAAGTTGATTATCGTTTCCGAATCCACTACTTCTTATCAATTCTCTAGCTTAACCCATTTCTAGCAAAACGACTGTCTGTTTTACGTTTTGACAATGAATCAACGATATTTTATAAAAGTAGTTTCGTATTTTGTCTTTTTTATTCTATAATAGCTGGAAATGATTATATCCACACGGTTTGCATCTATATTTAGACATTTGACAAGTTAACATAAGTTTAAGATAACTTAAATTGGGTGTTAGCTCCCCTTTTTAACACCAAATTTTATTTTTGTTTATACATATTTCATTTAATGTTTAATCATTACAAAATATTTTAATTGAATAGATTTTGGTATATTTAATTTATTCAAAAAAGACATATACTAATATTCAGAATTTATTTATCTTGTTTTGAAAAGTTAAAGAATTTTAATTACCAAAATTCAGAACCTTCAAAATTTATATATATAATATTTATCAGGATGATTTTGTATTTTGAAGACTAAACACCGTTAAGCCGTTCACAGTCAAATAAACATTATAAGCGTTGATGCACTAAAATTTCCATACCATAATGCTCAAATTCATGTTGCTTTCCTAAAGTAAAATTATGTGCTTATGATTTAAATTGAACAATTATATTTAGATTATGCTTAAACTGTTTCCGTTTCATTAAGTTAAGATTATTTTAACGTTAACACATTTGGCATATATCGTTCACCGGTCAATAAACTAGTTTTATCTGTGGTACGCATTCTGAATCCCCATCAGAATTGCTCTTGCTACGGATGTACAATGAAAAATAATGTTGATTTCATGAATTTACCATCAAGCTGTTCATAGCTGTGATCGTCTAGTCGTTGGTAACGAATGTCATAACAGTGATATTAACAGTGCAAAGTTCGAACCTTGTATCCGGAGTGAATTTTTTTTCATTGTAATTTTTTTCTGGACCAAAATATTGTTGTAATCCAAGAACATGTAGAAGTATTATATATTTCATTTTCATATAATGGCGATGATTTTGTTTCTGTTTTTACTGTCAAAGAAGTAGTTTTAACCCAAAACTAATTCAATAATCATGAACAAACCAAGATATATATATTTCATTAGATTACAAAAGCGAATTATCAATGAGACAGAAATACAGTTAAATGACATGTATTTACAATAAAGCGCTTTAAGAGCACTATTCATATAATAATTGTCGTCAGCCATCGTGGTCTAGAGGTATCATGCACAGACTGAAGACTATTGATTATGAAGAAAATAAGCGCGGGTTCGAATCCTACACACTCCATTCGTTTTTGAGATGATAAAAGATCGTAAGTTAAACGTTTAAAGTTATAATATAAGTTCTCTTAAGTTAATACTGTGGTCAGTGGATTCTTGAAAAATAATCTACAGTAAGAACAATAGACTGACGTCAGAAAAATGGGTTAACTGCCTGGATCTATCCATTGCTTCAGTATCAGCGGAGTAACGCCAAGTGAGTCTTGGCAAAATTTGTGACCATACCAATGTGCTATTCAGTAAAAGTTCTGAAACTTTCTTCAAATAATTACGTAACACTCCTGTCTTAATTTCTCCTAAATCATTTCCCCCTATGTGTAATACTAGATAAGTTGGGGGTTCCTCATATCTAAGCATCAGTTTGATCCTATTTAGTTGTTCATTAAGCCTCATTCCGCTTTTTCCCAACCACCACAGCCGAACACCATTTTGATCTAGTTCAAGATTAATGCCACCTGGTCTTGTTCTAGCTTCTACAAATGCATTTTTCACCAAGGAGGAACCAACAATCCAAATTGTAATTGGTGAACCTGCAATTCTTAAATAGCGGTTAGTCCCACTAAAGTGATTGCAAGTTCATTACACAAAATTATAAATAAATCCAACAGTTATAGACATTGTTGTATTCGAATATATGAACGAAATGAATCAGATTTCCACCTACCCATGGCCTGAATTTCAGAATCAGATAAGCCATTCATGGCAGCGCTTGTGGCAGCACCTATCCTGAATGAATGAGAACTATATTTTGCATAACTTAAACCCAAAATATTCAGTGACTTTTTTAGGACTCCCGAAAATTGGTATCTAGTGATAGGGGTTCCATCAAAATGACAAAACAGTTGACCAGCGATATTTGGTCTTATTTTTAAGTAATTACGTGAAGCGAAAACTGCACAAACATCACCAGGCCTATCATCAATAACAGTTGTAATTCCTGTACAGCACTTGTCAGTCTTAGATGAACGTAAGCGGATTTCAATACTGGATAGATTTATCTTAATGTCTTTATAATCAAGTGCATGGGATTGGGTTGATGCGTGTTTTTGGTCAGCGGTTAGTTCGCCAACTCTAAGGAAACCAAAAAAGGCCAAGGAAAACGAAGCTTGGAAGAGTTTAGTTTCAAAATCATTATGATAAACAGCAGGTAGAACGTTATAAATTTTTGTCAATAAATCACGCGTTATGGGTAACCTAGCATCCTTTGGTCGACGCTGTGAACGCTTCATTCTTTCGAGTAGCTTTCTGACAACAAAAGCATTCAAGCAGTCAGTATAATTGTTAATCTTACTGAAAAAACTCAACCCAGAGATATACGATTTGACAGTTGAGGCCGCAGTTCCAGTGAATGACATATAGGCAATATAGTTAGTTATGTGATGTAATGGAATAGGCCATAGATCTTCGAATTTGAATAAGGCCCTAAAATCATTAAATGACCGTAAAGCTTGTTGGTAAACCTTTGCCGTATTAGGTGCGACTGCTGATACAATTAGTCGGTCAATTTCAGTTTGGAGATCAGGTCTATGAACTCCCGAGGGACTATTTCCGGTGAATCCTCCGCCAATGGTGCTAACCTTCTGAACTTGTCTAACTGAAAGCAAGAGAGAGCGTCAGCTATATTATTTTTGGCACCTACAATATGTTTTGCCTTGAACTGAATGTTGTAATGCATGGTACGCAACACGAATGGTCGAATTATTGACATTACCCGTTTTGAGTTTGATGTTCTCTTGTTATATCAAC